TTAGAGCATCGACCTGCGGACTAGGGAGACCCGGGTTCGGTTCCCACTAAAGGCATGTACCTCGGTTGCAGTTTGTCCCCAGCCCTGGTTGGGTCGTGCGGGAGGCAGCCATTCAATGTGTCCCTTTCATGTCAATGTTTCCCTCTCTCTCTCTCTCTCTCTTCCTCTCTCCCCCTCCCACTCTATCTGAATAAAAAGTGGAAAAATGTCCTCCGGTGAAGATAAAAAAAAAAAAAAAATTAATAAGATGAATCTTTTCCCGTCATGTTTTGTATCTTACTGGACACGGTCCATAAAACAGCACCTAATCAATGTGGCATTTAGAAATAATTTTGTGGCTAATTTTTTAAAAACTAATTTAATTTTTCACCGTGGTAAAACCTGCCTCACAAAATTTATCATTTTAACCATTTTTACGTGTTCAGTGGCATTCAATATAGTCATGTTATTATGCTGCCATCACCAACAGAACATTTTTTGTCTTTCAAACTGAGATTCTATCCCGTTAAACACGGATTCCCCTTGCCCTCTCCTGCTAGCCCATGGCAACTGCCATTCTGTGTTCTGTCTCCTTGGGGGTGGGGTGGGGGGTGCCAATGGGGTAAAAAGGTAAAATATCTGTAACAAAAAAATAAATAAAAATTCATTTAAAAAAAAAAAAAAGAATTTGACTCCTCTAAGGACCTCAGAAGTAGAATTACACAATATATGAAATACTAGCGTATTTCACCTACGATATCCTCAAGATTCACCCACGCTGGAGCATGTATCAGGATTTCCTACCTTTTTGAAGACTGAATAATATTCCATCATATAGATATACCACTTTGTGTATCAAGTCATCTATCGATGGACATAGGTTGCTTCCACCTTTTGGCTATTGTGAATAATGCTGCTATGAATTTGAGGGTACACATATCTTATGTTCCTGCTTTTAATTCTTTTGGGTTTCTGGACCCAATTCCAAGGTGGGAAGAGGAGTGGTTTCCCCACACCAACAAGCAATTCTAAGTATCCTACTATTCAACTCAGTTGTGACACTATCTTCCCAGACACAGCATCATGCCACAGGCTAAGGGCTCTGTCCTACAAGACTGTTTGCCTTACCCCCTGCCTCCCCTTTATACTTTAATCACAAGTCCGGGTTGTCAACTGGGCTTCTGACCTGTGGGCTTCAGGTAGGAGGTACCAACAACCACCTCCTTGGGTCACTTAATTTGAAGAGTGGCTCATAAATTCAGAGAAACATTTTATTTACTAGATGACTGGTTTATTTGAAAAGGATATAAGTCAGGAGCAGCTAGGCAGAAGAGATGCATCGGGCATGGTATGTAGAAAAGGGCACAGTGTTTCCATGCTTTCTCTGGGCACAGCCTGCTCCCCAAATCTCCACACACTCACCAACAGGGAAGCTCTCTGTACCCCGTCCCTTGGGGTTTTTATAGAGGCTTCATTACCTAGGCATGATTAACTCATTGGCCATTGGCAATTGATCCAATCTCCAGCCCCTTGCCTCTCCCTGGATGTCAAGGAGTGGGACCAAAAATAAACAAGTTGAAGGATACAAATCATATCAACAGATGCAGATAAAGCATTTGACAAAATCCAGCTCCAATTTATGATAAACACTCTCAGGAAAGTGGAGATAGAGGGAACAAACCTCAACCTAATAAAGGTCATATATGACAAACTCACAGCTAACATCATCCTCAATGGGGGAAAACTAAAATAATTTTTCTTAAGATCAGGAACAAGCAAAGATGTCCACTTTCACCCCTTTTATTCAATATAGTATTGGAAATCCTAGCCACAGCAATCAAACAAGAAAAAGAAATAAAAAGCATCCACATTGGAAAGGAAGAAGTAAAACCTTCATTGTTTGCAGATGACATGATACTGTATATAAAGAAACCTAACTGTCCACCAAAAAACTGTTAGAACTGATAAATGAGTTCCATAAAGTAGCAGAATACAAAATGAATATTCAGAACTTGTTTGCATTTTTATATTCCAATGATGAACTATCAGAGAAATGAAGAAAACAATCCCATTTACAATTACATCAAAAAATACTTAGGAATAGCCCTGGCCAGTTTTGCTCAGTGGTTAGAGCGTCGGCCTGCAGTCCAGAGAGACCTGTGTTCGGTTCCCACTAAGGGCATGTGCTTCAGTTGCAGTTTGTCCCTGGCCCTGGTTGGGTGGTGCGGGTGGCAACCATTTGATGTGTCCTTTTCACGTCGATGTTTCTCTCTCTCTCTCTCCTCTCTCTCCCTCCCACTCTGTCTGAATAAAGAATGGAAAAATGTCCTCAGGTGAGGATAAAAAAAATACCTAGGAATAAATTTAACCAAGAAGGTAAAAGACTTAACTCCAGAACCTATAAGACATTGAAGAAAGAAAATGAGGAAGATAGAAATAAATAAAGCATATACTGTGTTCATAAATAGGAAGAATTAACATCATTAAATGTCTATACTACCCAAAGAAATCTATAGATTCAATACAATCTATATCAAAATATCAGTGGCGTTTTTTATAGTACTAGAACAAAAAAAAAAAAATCACAAAAAACCTCGAATAGCTATAGCAATCTTGAGAAAAAAATAACAAAGTTGGTGGTATCATGGTACCTGATATCAAACTATACTATAAAGCATAGTAATCAAAACAGCCTGGTCCTGGCATAAAAACAGACACATAAATAATGGAACAGATTAGAGAACCCAGAAATAAACCTACATGTACATGGTCAATTAATCTATGATAAAGGAGGCAAGAACATACAATGGGTAAAGACAATCTCTTCAATAAATGGTGTTGGGAAAACTGGACAAGTATATGCAAAATAGAAAAAGAAAGAAAGAAAGAAACTAGACTACTTTATCACACCATATATAAGAATAAACTCAAAGTGGATTGAAGATTTAAATGTAAGACCCAAACTATAAAATTCCTAGAAGAAAATATAGGTAGTAAAAAACAAACAAATAAACCCAGAAAACATAGGTAGTAAATTCTTTGGCATTGGTCTTAGTAATATTTTTTTGACTATGTCTCCTCAGCAAGGGAAACCAAAGGAAAAAAAAATGGGACTATATAAATGAAAATGTTTTTGCCTGGAAAAGAAAACCGTCAACAAAATGAAAAGACAACCTACTGAATGGGAGAAGATATTCCCCAATGATACATCTGATAAAGGGGTTATATATAAAGAACTATGTAAAGTTCTCATACAACTATATGAAGAACTATATAAAGAACTCATACAACTTAACACGAAAAAGACAAACAATCTGATTAAAAATAGGCAGAGAACTTGTATAGATGTTTCTCTGACATACAGACAGCCAATAGACATATGAAAAGATGCTCAACATCACTAATGATCAGAGAAGTGCAAATTAAAACCACAATGAGATATCACCTCACACCTATCAGAATAACTATCATCAATAAATTAACAAGCAACAAGTGTTGGTGAGGATGTGAAGAAAAGGGAACCTTTGTGCACTGTTGGTGGGATTGCAAATTGGTGCAACCACAATGAAAACAGTATGGAAGTTCCTTAAAAATTAAAAATAGAACTACCATTTGACCCAGCAATCCCACTTCTGGGTATTTAGCTAAAGGAATTCAAAACACTAATTTGAAAAGATGTATGAACCCGTATGTTCATCGCAACATTATTTACAATAGCCAAGATATGGAAGCAACATAAGTGTCCAGCAATAGACAAATAGATAAAGAAGACATGATGTATATACAAAATGGAATATTAGACATAAAAAAGAATGAAATCTTACCATTTGTGACAACATGAATGGACCTAGAAGGTATTATGTATGCTAAGTGAAATAAGCCAGATAAAGACAAACGCCATAAGATTTCACTTATATACGATGTGAACCCTGAGAAAGGAGACACCTACCACTGATTTTAGAGAGGGAGAGAGAGAGAGAAACATTGATGCAAGAGAACATTGATTGGCCGCCTCCTGCACGCCCCCAACTGGGGATTTGGCCCACAACCTGGGCATGTGCCCTGACTGGGAATCGAACCGGCGACCTCTTAGTGCATGGGTCGACGCTCAACCACAAGCCACACCAGCTGGACTAAAAAATAAAAATAAAATTTAAGGAAACAGTGGAACTAGTTTGTTTTCCTGGCAACCAGTCCCCATCCCTAGGTTGGGTCTAAAGCCACCTCGTTAAGATAACAAAAGGCACCTTTGTCTTGAGGGTCATATGGGAAATCCAAAGCTTTTACAAGATCTGAACTGGTTGGAAATCGAATACACACACACACACACACACACACACACACATTTTTTCTTTTTAAAAAAATCTTTATTGCCCTGGCCAGTTTGGCTCAGCGGTTAGAGCGTCCACCTGCGGTCCGGAGAGACCCGGGTTCGGTTCCCGCTAAGGGCACGTACTTCGGTTGCAGTTTGTCCCCGGCCCTGGTTGGTCGTGCGGGTGGCAGCCACTCGATGTGTCCCTTCACGTCGATGTTTCTCTCTCTCTCTCCCTTCCTCTCTCTCCCTCCCACTCTATCTGTACAAAAAATGGAAAAATATCCTCGGGTGAGGATAAAAAAAAAAAAAAATCTTTATTGTTGAATGTATTACAGATGTTCCTCATTTTCCCCCCATTGACCCCCCCCTCCCCACTCCCATCTCCCTCCCGCCTTTTCCCACACTGTTGTCTGTGTCCATTGTTTATGCATATAAGTTCTTTGGTTTATTTCTTCCCACCCCCAACCCTCCTCTCTTGAAGTTTGTCAGTCTAGCAATCAATTTGTACTTTTTTTTTTTTTCAAATGAGTTAAGTTTAATTCCAGGTGGTACAGAATTCCCAATGGAACAAAGACTGAAGAACACACTTGGGCAGGATTCTGGGCTGGTTTACTCTGACCTCACAGCTAAGGTTGAAACGGCAGAGTGAGAACTGAAGAGATGAGCCACTGCATGATTATTATTACTATTATTATTATTATTATTATTTTTACAAAAGTTTATTCTTAAATGTACAACAGGCTCCAAGACAACACTTCATTCTAGCTATGGATGGCAAGAGATGTTATGGCAGGAAATCCAGATGTTAAAAAAAGGAATGGAATTAAGGATCACCATTGCCCTAGGCACAAGGAACAGCTCACTTTTGCCAGATTTCTTAATTCCACCTGTGGCCAGGGGGCCCTTCCCCGCAGCCTTCGCTTTTAGCTCCTCAAGTTTCTTCTGCTCCTCTTTCTGCTTCTGCTTGAACGCCTTATCTTCCTCGTCCATCTCTTTGGCTTGCTTCTCGGGCTGCTTCAGGGGCTGCTTCTTGCCACCTTCGCGGCCGGACATGGTGCCTACTGCCCCTTCCCCAGACCTTGCCACCGGAGCAATTTGTGCTTCTTAATCCCTTCACCTTTTTCACCTATTCCCCCAACCCCCCTCCCATCTGGCAACCAACAAAATGTTCTCTGTATCTATGAGAATGTTTCTGTTCTGCCTGTTCATTTTGTTTGTAGATTCCATTGTCGATAGATATGTATTCATTGCCATTTTGTTTGTTCATAATTTATTTTTTTCTTCAAAAAGACCCTTCAACATTTCATATAATAATGGTTTGGTGGTGATGAACTCCTTTAGCTTTTTCTTGTCTGGGAAACTCTTTATATGGCCATGATTCTAAATGACAGCTTTGCAGGATAGAGTAATCTTGGTTGTAGGTTCTTGCTTTTCACCACTCTGAATATTTCTTGCCACTCCCTTCTGGCCTGCAAAGTTTCTTTTGAGAAATCAGTTGACAGTCTTATGGGAATTCCCTTGTAGGTAACTAACTGCTTTTCTCTTGCTGCTTTTAAGATTCTCTCTTTGTCTTGAACCTTTTGCATTTTGATGATGACGTGTCTTGGTGTGGGCCTCTTGGGGTTCAGCTTGTTTGGGACTCTCTGTGCTTCCTGGACTTGTATGTCTGTTTCCTTCACCAAGTTAGGGAAGTTTTCTGCCATTATTATTTCAAATAGGTTTTATATTTCTTGTTCTCTCTCTTCTCCTTCCGGCACACCAAAGATGTGAATGTGGGCACGCTTGAAGTTGTCCCAGAGGCTCCTTACACTATCTTCATTTTTTTTATTATTCTTTTTTCTTTTTGCTGTTCTGATTGGGTGTTTTTTGCTTCCTTATGTTCCAAATTGATGGTTTGCTTCTTGGCTTTACCTACTCTACTATTGAATCTGTGTAAATTATTCTTTATTTCAGTTAGTGCCTCCTTCATTTCTGACTGTGCATCCATAATTTCTTTTTTTTTTCTTTTTTTTTTTATCCTCACCCGAGGACATTTTTTTTTTGTTCAGGTACAGTGGGAGGAAGAGAGAGAGAGAGAGAGAAACATCGATGTGAAAGGGACACATCGAGTGGCTGCCACCAGCACGACCGACCAGGGCCTGGGACAAACTGCAACCGAGGTACATGCCCTTAGCGGGAACCGAACCCCGGTCTCTCGGGACCGCAGGCTGATGCTCTAACCGCTGAGCCAAACCGGCCAGGGCAAAATTATTTTTATTTTTTTGTGTGTTACATGCCTCTAGCAGAAACCGAACCTGGGACTCTCTGGCCCACAGGCCGACGCTCAACCTCTGAGCCAAACTGGCCAGGGCTGCATCCTTCATTTCTGACTGGTCCTTTTTTATGCTCTTGAGGCCCTCACGAAGTTTGCTGAGGTTCTCACTAAGTTCCACTAAGTTCACTGAGCATCCTTATAAGCAGTATTTTGAACTCAGCATCTGTTAGGTTGCTTATCTCCATTTCACTTAGTTCTTTTCCTGGAGTTTTGTTCTGTTCTTTCATTTGGGACCTGTTTCTTTGTCTCCTCATTTTGGCTGCCTCCCTGTGTTTGTTTCTGTGTATTACTTAACGAGAGGTATGGGGCTAGCTGAGACCAGATGCTGCTTATTGAAAGAATTTAGGAAAATCTGAAGCAGGATCCAAGACAGGCCAATCCTATGGTTAAGCAAGTGGCAACAGCTTGGGTGGGCCTGAGAGTTGGGTGGGGCGGGGCCTCAGGGGGTCAGCAGGGCGGGGCTACCAGTGTGAGCCAAGTTGCTGGAGTCCCAGATATGGCGACTGTCTGCCGCCCCCGGGAAGGGCTCACCAAAGGAACAAAGGCCTCTGACAGCACGTCTTTCCAGGAGAAAGCCCCCTCTCCAACCCTCGCTCCAACGCCAAACAGCTCAGTTCTTCCCTGTATGTCTCTGGCGCCCCTCGAGCTGCCTCCCCTCCAAGCTCAGAGGGAGAGAGTCTGATAAGTCCGTGCGCGGGCCCTTTAAGAGGAGCTGCCTGGGGCTCCCGCCGCCTCAGCCTCCCTGAGCCTCAGTTCCCGCTGGTTTTTCCAGCCAGAAGTTATGGGGATTCTCTTCCTGGCACTGGAACCCTGAGCAGGGCACCTGGTGTGGGACGGGGACCCCTCAGTCCTCAGGGAGAATCTTCCCAGCCGAGGTGTCCTCCTGATTTTATCCGCCACACGTGGGTGTGGGAGCAGCCCGTCCCCTCCGCCCCTCCTGCCAGTCTCCATGTGGCTGCTGCTTTAGTTCCGTAGTTGTAGGACTTCCATTCAGCTCCATTTCAGGCGGCTTTGAATGATGGTTGTTCTGTAGTTTAGTTGTAACTTTGATGTGGTTGTGGGAGGATGGATACCGCGTTTACCTCCCCGCCGTCTTGACCGGAAGTCCTATGGCAGCGTCACAGGTGTATGGCCAGAAGGGAATCACTGGATCCCGCTATCCTCGGCCAAATTTAACATCAAGTCAACAAACCTTTCCTGAGCATCTGCTGGGGGGCGTCCAGGATGCTTATAGTGTAGGGGAAGAAAACTGTAGGTATTAGGGGAAATGAAGCTGTGAGCTGGCGGCCACCCTCTCTCACACACCGTGGTAGAAGCAGGACCCCACAGGGCCCCACAGGCCAGCTCAGCGCAGAGCCTCCAGCAGAGGCGCACGTCCAGCTACCGGAAGTGATACGGAAAGGAATTCCTTTATTTACTTGACCTGCGCCTGATGTCCTTTGGGCCCCTCCTGGATTACTTCTTGGTCTTTTAGGGGCAGAGGAGGAAGACCTCTGCGAAGGGGCAACTCTCCCCAGCCTGTCTGGAATGCCCGAGGCAGACTCCCGTTAACTGACACTGCCCAGGAGGACCCTGCCACATGCCTGATTATCCGGACTCCAGACCACCAAGCTCCTGTTACCAGAACCTTCTGGCTGGTGGGGACTCCTCATGACCAGAGTCAAGTCCCACCAAAAACTCCAGATGTGCCCTCTGCATCATCAAGAAAAAATAAAATGGCCCGGCTGGTGTGGCTCAATGACTGAGTGTCGACCCTGCACCAGGAGGTCGCTGGTTCGATTCTCGGTGAGGGCACATGCCCAGGTTGTGGGCCAAATTCCCAATGGGGGGCATGCAGGAGGCGGCCAATCAATGTTCTTTCTCATCGATGTTTCTATTTTTCCCTCTCCCTTCCTCTCTCTAAAGTGAATAAAGGAAAAAAAAAAATTTAAATAAACAAAATGACCTCTGGTTTGGTTTTCATGCTTGTTGTATTTTATTGTATATTAATTTGAATTTGGGTAACTTAATGTGGCGCATAAGCTGATGCATTCACCCAAATATGTTACTGATACCATTGTAATTAGCTAGTTATTAATAGTCAGAAAGGAGCAAAATCGAGGCCAGGCATTATAAGCACTTGGGCAGCTTCACCAGGAAGCTGCAACTTTGCCCTCCCCAGGGCAACAGCACAGGGGGGAGGGTTCAAACAAACGGGAGACAGAGGCACCTGCAGTGGAGCTGGGGTGACCCGGGAAGGTACTTGCCTGTCTGTCATTGGCCAGAATGGGCATGGTCACTGCAAGTGCATGAAAATTTGGGAACACATCATCTCCTAAATAAAGGCGTCCTCTCTCGTTGCTCTTGGTGTCCCTGCATTCACCTATGTTCCCCTGCAGCCACGTGGCCAGTAAAGCCGCATGTGATGGGCTGCCGTGGGAAACACAGCTAAGCCAGCCGCTGCTGGACTGGCCCTGGCTCCACATAGAAAGGAAGCTCTGGACATGGGCTCTGAGTTGGGCTCTGCTGAAGGCAAACTGGGACTTCTTCCTGCGCGGGACTGAGGGCGACGAGGCCTTGGAACCTCAGGGGTTCGATGCCACGGAAATAAGGCTTTCTACAGGATGGCATACTCCAGTGCGCATCTCAGAAAGTTCTTGAGATATCTCAGGGACTCCATCCCCACTGGCAACAGATGGAGACGAGGCCTTCCTTCTCTGGCAAATGATCGCCACGGTGCTCCTTCTCCTGATCTTGCAGGAGGCAGCATGGGTGGGGAACCTAAGCGTCGTAAGAACTGTAGCCAAGTGGGAAACGCGTCACAGCCAAGCGCAGGGCCCATCCAGCCGTACCTTCATGTCATAATTTTGTGGACAATGTCATTGCAGCCGAGACACAGACAGAGCCTGGGCCACCTTATGCACTACTTCATAGAGGAAGGGCACGTTTATTTATTTTATTTTTTATTTTTTTATCCTCACCCAAGGACATTTTTGCCTTTATCTTCAGATAGAGCGGGGGGGGGGGGGGGGAGAGAGAGAGAAACATTGACGTGAAAGAGACACATCAACTGGTTGCCACCCACACGACCTCAACCGGGGCCAAACTGCAACCGAGGTACATGCCCTTAGCAGGAACCAAACCCTGGACTCTCTGGTCTACAGGCCAACTCTCTAACCACTGAGCCAAACCGGCCAGGCGGCAAATACTTGTTAACCAGTTGGCTTTGGAGGCCAAGGGCTAACTTTGGTGCCGCCAGTTCACGGTCAGTGGTAACTCGGGGGGAGGGGCGGGACTGGGCTTATCCTCTAGCCTGGCAGCTGCCATAAAAGGCCACTCACACGCCAGGCCAGTCGAGGACTCCAGGGCCTCCCAGAAGCCATCCAAACCTGGCCTCTTCCACCCTCGGGCAGACTGCTCAGGAGACAGACCTTTGCAGGCAAATGTCCTTTCCCCCAAGCATGGCAGACAGGGCGACTCGTTCTCTGCGACCCCGTTAACGCGAGCACACCCAGGCAGAGGGTTCTGAGGGGCACATGTGTGAGGAGAAGGAGGGGGGTCAGGGCGGGTCCGAGTCCTCTGTCAGGAGAAGAAAGCCGATGCCCCAGGCAGCGCAGCGGGCGGCATCTCCGTGTTCTGCGTCTGGCAGAGTCGGGTCTCCCAGGGCAGTGCTCAAGTCAGAGCCCTCGCCTGCTGCCACCAGACCACGGCTGTGAGGCTGTCCGTCCGTCCGTCCCGAGCCTTACTGTGCTCTGCTGCGCTGGGTGCTGGGAGGGTGCGCAGGG